CAATCAATCAATCAATCAATCAATCAATCAGGAAACAAAACTCGTCCATATCTTAATGCCACTAAGTAAACTCATGTTTGATTCAGAACATGTTCGTTATAGACATAAGGAGATTTCCATATACCTCCACCCCTCGATAGGTACCTTTCTTATAAAGACAGTATTTGCCTTCAGGCCAGAACTCACTACCCCCCTCGGGCTTGTCTTTGATACAAAACTTTTGTTGTATGCCGTGTTTGGAAAACTCTCCAGGCATGTGAAACACGTTCGACCGCTGATTCTGATTATTGTCGTCTTCAGTGTCATGGTATGTCGACCCGTTTCTCCATTTTAGGGTTTCGTCGTCAGGGCAACCAGCCATTGGCATAGGTATCCCGTATGTACCAGTCGGCCATCGAACTGAAAAAGTAAATCAATATAAAGAAGTGACTTATCCCAACAAGGCTTTGCGTGTGTCAAGTCAAAAAGTACAATTAACTATGTCATTTGATTGGTAGAGATTTTGGAACATATCCCAGTAAGGCTTCGTTAAAACATTAGACTGTGCACTGGTGCAGTAGCCATGACATGCGCAGAATGAACTGCAATGTATTCCAGTGAAAGTAGGGTATTGCACGACACTGGTGAAAAACGCACTGCGCATGCCCACAGCTTTCCCGCCAGTGGGCGCTCGCGTCTTGAAATCTGTAAACAGAGCTCCTGGCGATTTACAGCGACAACACAGAAAACACTACGAAAAACCTCATTTTCTCAAAATAGAAATGACAAGATAAAAATAGAAACTACATACTAAAAGGACCTATCATGAACTATGATTGATAGAAATATGAATCTTATATATCGGTGAACGAGCTTATGAATTAGTCAACTGTGTAACGTAACAATGATTGAAAAGGTCTAATAGACGAAACATGTTTCATTCAAAGTCTTGGTGTAGTGTGTCGAAAGAGGTGATTTTAAAAACGAAAACAGTTTAACATATAGCATGAAAGCTTATGAATTGTAAAACACTTTCACAAAAATCGCTTTACAAAGGAAATTAGGCAGATTTCAGCGGGAAAGCTGTGGACATGCGCAGTGCGTTTTTCACCAGTGTCGTATTGCACAGATTATGCAATTTAATTAATCAAAGATATTCTAGTATTACCGCGCGTGTCAATGGAAGATGTACAAACGAGGCTAAGTACTTACCAGCACCGTAAGATAGTCCGATGAATGAGGCGAAAACCACTAAAGTAACTTTAAAATCCATGTTGATATTTTAAGGACCCTCAGTGAACCTGGAGAGAATAGAAATCAAAGTGAAATTCCGTGAGAATTCCAYATAAGGTAGATATCCGAGACGTGTGCGATCTGGTGCCTAAAATAGTTTGTGACTTGCAGACGAGCTAACGTACACTACCGAGTGTGTTTTTTTTCCGTAGTAGCCACAAAAATGACACAATTTGACTTTAGTATTAAGTGCTAACCAGTACACTTTTAGCAAACTGTATATTGTATAAGCTTTTGCGTTTTTTAACAAAATTGGTAAAATGATTTRCAAAGCTGTATATTTTTGTAAAAAAGAAATGTTTTCCAATTTTGTTGTTGAAATGTTCAAAGTGAACGTTATAAACTATTATTAATCCGCGCAACTTTGCAATTTCCAGATGAAAGTTTGTTATTGTAGTTGACAGGTTGTTATGTCCTCGACAGTTCAATAGCTTATCGACCTATGGCGATAGTTTCCCAAAAATACTTTGCTTGAGTGAATCGTAAAAATAACTCTACATTTTGACCCTAAAGWCTACGATAATATAACAAAGAAGTCGTTGATAGTGGCCGCAAAGTCTCTTTGGTTATTTACAGTGTTTCKTTTTTAAAATAACAGGTTTTTTAGTTAGATAACAAGAGGAAAGACTAGCACTTTGTGTAATGATGTTCCAGGTCCAACGGACCGATTTACAAGTGTCTTAAATGATAACAATGATAGGTCTAACCACCCTCAATACATAGCAAAGGACAATAAATGCTTATACTAAGAAACAGAAAGAAAAGKAAGTATAAAAACACTTGTAAACTCACCGGATTGTCCTCCATTACGSTTTTCTCCTCGTACTATGACGTCATGAARTGTTGATCTYCTCGGTTCTTCAGCGGTTGTTGCAGGTTGTCGTRTTTTTCAGCCAATCAGAAAGCAKTATYTSCTCTTCAAGGATTCCATGGACGTTTGATCATTAGACATTGACTGACATAATGGAATGGTCTCCGATGGCTCAARGAMCGGGMTCGAKGATAAGCTCGGTGAAAATAGGGATTCTTTATTATTCAAACCAGATACGAACTAATTCCATGTAGACTATAGATATAAAACGTATCCTTATAGAATTACTCACAATTTTCTAGGATTAAACTATAAATATGTTTTTGATTTTATTATTTTGATTATAGAATTCCTCGCTTTAAGGGAATAGATTTCATATGCGCTCTGCTGTTTATCGGCATAGAACTGCCCTGCGATGAATTTTTTATTTCTTAAAAAAACTAGGCAAATCAGGCAATTAGGCTTGGAGTTTAGCGAATAACTATAGAACAGATCTCTACAGTATACCCGTCATAGTCCATGGTACCTGTTAACCCARCATGCASTGCAGTCGGGGATCCACAGGTAWTCCGGMATAACAAACTGATTGTCTGTTAGCTCGCTCATGGTAGGGCTCCCCTCGTGTAACCCACGCCGAACGGATTAAGGGTACTTTAAATGCCCACAATGCATTGCTMTCTGAATATGTAGCCACGATACTTTAAAAAGGCAGTTTCATTACCCARTTGAATCTATAGGAAATAAGCAAGTTTTGAAATCATTTTAATCAACCTTTAATATTACATGGTTGTAGTTTAAAGTGTGCAACATACTCTTACTTACATATCTCTATTAAATCAATTCAATTCAAACTAAATAAACTTAAGCTACTGAATTTTTAAATCGTTTATTGAGCATGAAATGCTGTAATTTCAAACAATCATTTGCAACACGCTTTTATGTTGAGTTCACCAATCCATTGGCCATATTGRCCACATCTGCCATGGCACCTGATGTTACTGCTTCCAAAGACCACAGGGGTGATGTAGCTAGCTGACGGACCGTACAACTTCAACGCGCGCATATGGCCTGCCTTGAGAGTGAAGSCTGGTGGGCAGCTACCGCTGGCGAGTATGCAATAGCTTCCTGCGGGCCACTTTCCTGCGATGAAGAATGAATCTTATGTTTGTGCCAAAAAACTAGAAGTRTGCAAGTTTTCGAACTAGAACTTGATTTGTGAAAGAGGAAGACAAACTTTCTCTTCTGACTTCCAAGAAGCGACATTATATGACGTGTACTACCGATTCCTTGTTTTACTTGTTGCAGTTCTTGTCTGGTCGTCTGAAGCTCTTTTCGTAAGTTCGCCAGGTCGGAGCTTGATGCTTTCGTAGCTAATWAGAATYAAGCAGTAAACATTAACATTAATATCCACCAATTCTTTGTGCTCTTGTGGAGTAGTATGTTATTAGGTTTTGAAGCAAACAAGAGACTGATCCTGGGCGGCGCATAAGCGATGTATTTTCCAGTAATGCAGTACCAATTGAAACCTGCTTTTTGATGGCTCCTTAAGTACAGCACCACTATTGTTAGGTTAGGTTTTGTTATATTGTTGGAAGACTTATCTATTGTTTGTCCATTGTTTTCTCAACCTATCATGAGACCCGTTCCGAGCGGTGCTACCTGGCTCGTATTTTTAGCGCCATCCCTGCTGCTGATAACAATTTTCCGCTTATGCAACAGATGCTTCTACTATTYAAAATGTCGTCTATTTTATCAAAATGTGCATTAGAGACTAACATTCTTGGTTTACTTATTCTGCACACATGACTCTTTGCACATGGTACAGGTGCTAGTTGTTTGATTGGCAAGTAAACTTAATTAAGGTGGCTTCCTATAGTTTTTTTTTCGACCATACCTCTTCTTTTAAATTCGCTTTTTGAAATTCTTGCCCTGCACCGATTTACTTGGTGTTTGGACCAGTAATAAATTGATCAAASTTTTGTTTGGCATAATATTTAGCTCCATTAACGTTACCTAGGCAACGGAGACTCAACAAATAGTATTTTAAATCTAAACACAAAACATGAGAAAACAGGTTATTTTTACTTAATTATGTATTGACTGTGTTGAGTGTTAGCTTTAAGCTCAGTGCTTTCAAGTATTGAAAAACGTACTCGGCCTCCAAAAAGTGAAAATAAACTAGTGTGAGCTGCGTCAGTGTTTCTAAAGAAACAGTTGTGCAATAATTAATATAAATTTTAACAAAAAAAGTAAAATAATTATTTCAATTGTTTACGGTGTACACAACTGCTACAAAAGATTACAGCACTATAGCAGTGTTTCAGTGTTAAAATATTGCCTGAAAAAATAAACTAGTGTGAGCTGCGTCAGTGTTTCTAAAGAAACAGTTGTGCAATAATTAAGATAAATTTTAACGAAAAAAGTAAAATAGTTCTTTCAATTGTTTACGGTGTACACAACTGCTACAAAAGATTACAGCACTATAATAGTGTTTCAGTGTTAAAATATTGCCTGTACTGAAAACAATAACCTTCTCTATAATGGATTTATTACATGAGTAGTTCAAAAAGCAATTTATAATTATGTTACCTAACGCTTGTTGAGCTTGCTTAAGTTCTTGTCTTGTCGCCTTGAGTTCATTTTCSACTTTSYTCAACAAGTCTTCTTGTGACTGTAGGTAAATGGCAAGAGCTGGCAGACACGATGGCACCTTTGTCTGTAGATAGACAAACTATGATTATAAAATACTGAAACTAACATCTTTTGACATTATTGTCGGCCCAGACCACAAGGTTAGTCTGTTCAGTTCTCATGCAGCCTAACAAACGCATCAATTGGAAATCATGAAAACGCAGACAGCTTTCCCTGTCAAGCAGATTGGTAGCATAAGCATTTTATCGGGTAAACATTATAGTTGCAACGCAGTTTTTCAGCTTGTGTAGCTGATACAAGCTAGTAAAGGCTAAAGGCCTTGCCATTGTAGCGTCGACTTCAGCGTAGGGTGGATTGATTTAGTGTTCTCATATTAATTAAAAAAGCCTTTACTTTGACTTATTTTTCGAACTGCTTAACTTACTTGATGACACTCAGTCTTGAC